GACATGGTATTGCCCGCGGCGTGCGCGACGAGCGCTGCCGACGGCTTTGAGCCGATTCAGGGCTAAAACGTTCTTTTTCCTCGACCAACATGGATTAACTGAGTATGAAATGATCTAAAATGACCAAATAAACCTGAATTGCACGAGAGTTGTCGGATAGAAAAGGACTTTACTCGGTCATGGCCTACAATAGCCTAAACCGATCTTATTATGGCATATTCATGAAATTTCAAGCTATGAGCTGAACAACCTCACACCAACTGAACTTATAACATGAAAGAGAGTTGGAGATGAGAGTACCTCTCCAAAGGTTCGGCTGAAGACGAAAGATGGGCGTGATTTCTTGGCTTCGTATGCGTGCCGTGTGAATGCCTCTCGGCGGAACTAGCGTGCGACGGATCGCCGTGCGTGGTGTGCTGCTTGCCGTGCGTGTGGTACAAACTAACTAAGGTAACTTGCTGCTGAACTCTATTAAGTACTTGTAATAATAATATAAGCTCAAGTGTGTGGCAAAATTTCGGTCCATCACTCTCTTTTATACCAACCGAAGGATGCTCACAAATTTGGGGTGATGATGAAGCTTAGATGTGGCCCTCCTTAAGCTTGACACTTGCTCTTCATTTAGATAGGTTTAAGATGACTAATCTTCCCCTTTAACCCTTACTAAGGACACGTGTAATGCTAAAAGAATTGGAAGGAATTTTCTTTCTTAAGGCATAGGAAATGATTTACCCAAAATAGGAATTTGTATCATGCACTACCGTACGGCTTTGTGTCCTTAGTGTATGATTAATGTTAATTAATCACTTAACTTATGTTTAATTATCTAATTAAACATAATGCTTAATTACTAAAATTATTCCGAACGTAAACGGTACGTCGAAAATAATTTTTGGTAATCTCGACTGAAAATAATTAATTCCGAAAATAATAATTGATAACATTATTATATCGAAACTAAAACATAATTTATACCGATAAAATATCGGGATATTACAAAATTAATTATTGGAGGCGATTAAAAAAAAAACGAATGAAATTGGTTAATAATGCAATGAGACAAACCCAAAATAGCCCGCAGGAGAAGTGCGTGTCAAGCTTAATTATCCAACACATTTGGTACTTGTCAAATCAACTCATTAAGAATTTAAAAGGCATTAGAGTGTTGAGCCACATTATAAACTCAATTGATAAAAATTTAATTAGAGCATAATTCTCACTTGACAATAAAAGAGTGTCTCATTTTCTCTCACTACGATCATAACTTATCTATCATTCTTGTCAAATGAATAAATTTGACTAAATCTTGAGATATCCACCCCGAAATTATATGGGGCTCAACATAAACTACATGAGGCTATATATCAAATTTTCAAAAGTTTAAAGTTAGATTTTTTTTTTATGGACTTGGTGTTGGAGCCCACCCTAGCCCAAGGGTGGCTCAGCCCCTGTTGTACATAACAATATCCTTACATATCCCATTATTTTTATGATCACCATATGCGTTAGTTTGATGATTTTCCCGAAGTGAACTCATGAAGGATTATTATGTTAAACCTTGCATGTTAAGTTCTGATCACCCGCGCGCGACCAACCATCCCCGGCGAGCCACCGCGAGCGACCAGGCATT